TAGAAATGAGAGCTGCTCCATCCAAAGTGGGATGGATGCCGTCTCTCCTAACAAGACCAGGTTTCCTCCAGAAGGTTTGCCAATTATCTATGAAGATAGCTGGAAGCTGTTGGTCTGTAGCAGGGAAGCAAACAGCTCTACCAGTGCAGAGAACAACAACAAATATCACAGCAGGAGTAACGTAGGATTCTGATGTTCTGACCCGTGTCACTTTCAGGAAGATGAAAACTTCCACATCCAGGGTCGTGCTGCAGAACTTCCCTCGAGTTTCAGGCATTTAAAATCACTTGACTTTGCCGCCATCACCTCTGCCTTGTTAACTTTTTAAGATGACTCCACCCCTTCGTCTGCCCTCAGGTGTCGCTATGGTAACAGGGGCCATCAGACGCAGAAGGAAGGAGCCTCTGATTGTTGACGATGAGCGAGATGTTCGTGAGAATATTGTTTGTTATGACGATGAGGGCGGTGGCGAGGAGGACACCGAGGCCTTCGACATGTTCACGCTGAGACACCTGAACGAGACCAAGCGGAGCTACCGTGCCACCGCCGCTGAGCCCCCGCCATCCAGGGAAGACAAACACCAACTGTTCCAGGAGTTCATCATGGACCGCCTCCGGGAGGCCAGCCTGGACATGACGGCGCCACCCTTTGACTCTGTGCAGACGTACGCTTTGGAGGGCAGCGGGTCGGCTGCTGTGTCGCTGAGCTCGTTTAGCTCGTTAACCTCGCTGGAGTCGGAGCAGAGCTACCACTTCCTGAGCGAGTGGGGGCCAAAGTTTCGGAAGCTTGCAGAACTCTACAAAGACCGCGAGGGAGGTGGTGCCTCATAGGGTGCACGCCTTGCGGCAACAGGTGTGTGGACGTACAGGTGCAGAGAGTGTGGTCTGTTTAGCCCATATGAACTGATTCGTCCTCACACCTGGAGCTCTGAGCTCCCTGAACCAGAGCAGAACCTGTACCGGCAGCTGGACCTGGAACCAGCCAGCTCGAGCTTGAGCTGCCTGATTGGACCTTTACGTAGTTACTGTGAAATATTTCCTGCTGTTGCTATTTCACAATAAAAGCTTGCCAGTGGTGCTGCTTTTATTTTGTAAGCCTGAATGTGTAACAACAGAAATAAAACTGAATTTATGAAAAGCTGCTGTTTTTACTGCTGTAACGCTCAGCCTCTCCATGCTGATGTCGTCCTGTGAAGTCTGCACAACTCCAGACTGAACCCCTGACGGTTCTTCACGTGTGCTCACGTGTGACAGGGTTAGTGGGCGGGGCACAGAGATGCTTTCCACCATACAAAAAACATCTGGTATGTTAAGTGGAAAGAGCGTTTGCTGTCCACTGAAACTGAAATGAGTAAACTGTGAGTCGCTGCTGGAACAACCCAAACATTACAGATATAATGCATCTTTTCTTCCAACTTTATTTCAACAGAAACTTTTAACGACCACCAGCTTCATACAGCTGTGGTGTAAAATTATCATACA